GAGGGCACAAGCAGTTGGTTAAATGATAGAAATAGCAATACAGGATGGAAATAGGAGTGAGTCCCTTTCTTTGGAGAAAAGCAGCCTAAAGCCTAAAATAAGGGTAAAGGTCCCCCTTGACATTTAGTCCAATCATGTCTGACTCTAGGGCGCGGTGCTCATGCCCATCTCCAAGCCGTAGAGCCAGTGTTGGTCCATAGACAGTTTCCATGGTCAGGTGGCCAGCACTTTTTTTTAAAAAAAAAATATTTCTAAAGAGTGAAGACAATCCATCATATTACAAATAATAAATACAAATAAATAAATATTCCCCACAGTTTTCCAAATCACATTTATACCATTCCCCGTCACCTTTTAAAGAAATATCGACCAACAATCTAAATGCTCCAAATAATTTTCCAAACCACATGTCTCAACGTTTATTTTGTTGGCATATTTTAATAAAGGCTTCCAATTTTCAGTGAATTGACTGTGGCTTATTTTTCTCCTCTATGTAATCTAACTTTATTAGTCATTTTTTCCGTCAACATTGCATGCCATATCTTACTTGTGAATGCTTGTAATGAGAAATCTTGGGCTTTTTTCCAGTTTCAGATTTTGCAGTGTCTATAAGATTTGCAAATAATTCTTTATGTTCTAGTTTCTTATTTCCTCCTGTGAATAATGAAAATAATAATAATGTTACATTAATATCTATTTTTGATTAGTCAATGTCTCTACCCATCTAATTACCTTGTGCCAGAATGCTTCTGTATTGGGGCAAGAGATCCACATATGTTCCAGAGTTCCTTTTTGTCCACAGTTCCTCTAACATTTATCAAATATATCTTTATTAATTCTATGTAACTTTGTAGGGTTTAAATGACACCAATGTACTACCTTCAGAACCATTTCTTTCACACTTGCTGATATAGATGTATATGGATATTTTTTCCAAATTCCTGTCCAAATTTCCTCAGGTATATTAATATTTAAATTTGTTTGCGACACTGTTTTAGCTCCTCCACCTTTTCCATATTCTTTCTCAATAATGCTTTTATATATTAGTGAGGTTAGTACTCTCTTTTTATTTTTATCTTTTTGAATACAATATTGTTCAAATTCAGTTAATGTTCTTAGAGAGCCAGTTTTTTGTTGTAAGTGAATAGTGACACTACTTATGTGTGTTATTCGTAGCCAATTGATTTTTATTTGCTTTGTTTTCTCTTCTATTTGCCTAATAGTGATTGGTTGCCCTGAATCAAATAAGTCAGTAATTCCATATATTCCAATTTGTTTCCATTCCTTAAATTGTGCACATTTCTCTTTAGATTTAAAATCTGGGTGATCTGAAAGAGGACATAAAGGGGTTACTGGGGGGCCCAATGTTTTACTTGTTTTCTCCATATCAGTGTTTCAGAAATGAATGGGTTCTGTATTTGTTCTCCTTTTCTAATTAATTTAGTGGTATAGATATACTTATTTACTATGTCCATTTTCATTTCACTTTCCATTTCAACCCAATCAGAATTCTTACAAGTCTTGTCAATTTGTATACGTTTAATTATATGATTTACACAGTATTTGTAAATCTTCATAATATTTTTGGAGTTGTGGTATCCCTTTTGACCCTGTCTATATTTGACACTATTTATCAATCTTATCTTCTTTCCCTTTCCTGCAATGAAATTTTCTAGCTTTCCTTGCCATAGTTTTACTTTTTTTGTATCTGGCTGTAATGGAATATTTTGGAATAAAAATTGAAATTTTGGTAATATATATTAGATTTAATCAAAACAATTCTCCCCAGCATTGATAGGTTCAAATTGACCCACTTTGTCATTTTTTCTTTTGTAAATTTAAATAGATTTTTATAATTTCTGTAGATTAATTGATTAAAGTTTTTTGTTACCCATATTCCTAAGTATTTAAAACTTGAATAGCATAACTCTAAATGAGATGCTTTTTAAATTTCGTTTTGTTTTGTAATAGGAATATTTAGACACAATAACTTAGATTCTTGGAAATTAATTTTTAGACCTGTATATTGACTATATTTCTGTAATATTTCTTTTAAGTGTTCTATTCTTTGTAATGGGTCCTCCAAAAAAATAAGCCTTCTTTCAGGAGGTACATTGTAGATTCCAACTTCTGGCTCCTGATGCTCTGGCCCCTTGAGCTGTATCAGCTGAAATGGCAGCTACATCCCACTAATGTGGGACACAGTCCTCTGGAAGTATGCCATACTAATTCCACTGACGTGGGGCTCTATGAAAATGATGTTTCTGTTTATTTCTAGGGGACACCATGGTAGATTGTACCCATGACTTGCATCTCTCTCACATCCTGAAGGATAGACCACTTATGCGAAGAAATTATGAATAAATTATGTTGCATCATCTTGGTTTTATGGAATGGCTGATTTAGCTGCCTGACAGATATAACTGATCACTACAGATTGCTGAAAAGTATACAAGCAGATATTCTTAAGAAATAGCATAAGCTTCTAAACATTTAACCATTGGCCTTCAGGAAAAAAGCCAAAAATTATTGGTCAGTGAAGAAATCGGATATAATTGATTACCAGAGACTGCTGGTAGAATTTTTTTAAAAAAAGGTTTAATGATTGATTGTTGACCTTTAAGGGAAAATGAGGAATGTAGTGATACCCATTTTAAAAATATTTCAGCCTACAAGGTGGGGGAGGATTATTTCATCTCTATATAATGTGCAGGCCTGTAGTCAGACAAAGTCAAGAGACACTAGGAGACTAGCTCCTAACACTGCTGATAGTGAGAAAGAGAAAGGTCCTCTGAGTATTCCCCCACACACACACCACTAGGAAAATTTAGCTGGTTTTTGTTTTGTTTTAGGTTAGTTTCCTGTTAACAAGAGAAAGAATTCCCCAGGAGCAGCAAAAAGGAATCAGGTAAGTATCTGCTATTTGTAGCTCCTTGGATTAATACTGTGGAGAATTCAGATGGTTTTCTTCCACCATCATTTATCCTTCGTTGGGTTTCTTGTAAGACTGCACTGACTAAATCTGGTCAAGTCTGTGGTGAAATGATAAGGTCTCCACCATTTCCACAAGTAAAGTCTCAAGGCTTGTAAAAAAGGATCATGGTCTCTGGCTCCACTGAAAAGGAGCAAAAATTACGGCACAAAGGGGTATTTGAAACACCTAGCAGGTTATTTAAATAGGCAAGTTAATCAGGAGTTCGTGGTATTGGCTGCTGTTCCATGTCTAATCGTGTATGATAAGACATGGAGCAGGTAGGGTGGATTAAGGTCTATTCTTTTTTCTCAGCCGTAAGGTTTTGCCAGTACACATGTGAGACTCATGCCCTATTCCGTCATTCTGATGTGTGAGACAAAAGCACATGAGGAAGGAGAGTGTGCTAGCTACTTTTCTGGCAATCCTGATCACTTGAAGAACAGATATGAGTAAGAGACACTCTGCTGTTCAGAAGGTCACCTACCATATGTGGAAGGCAACTAGAAACCATGGCAGGAGGAGTAGGGGTAGTATGTTGTCGCTCCTCACATGCTTATCTCATAAACAGAAGAACACCTTTTGGTTAATTATAGTTTGAATATACTGCATGATTGGTCTTACTGGTAATACAGTAAGCTAAAGAAAATATGCATCGTTAGACTATTCAGGCAGTAGATTTCAATGTACTGACAAAATAAAAAAGGAAAAAAACACAGACACCATGGAATGGAGAGAGCGGGATATTTGGGCAATCCCACAAAGAATATACAGCAGCATTGATAAGAGTGCTCCTCCTCTCAGTAATGCCTTAGTATAGCCTATAAGGGTCTCCCATTGCATGTTCTTTCCATTCCTCTGCACATTCACCCTTCCTTAGTAAGATTAACTCTTTACAAACACTTGTTTTTGATTGATTGATTGATTGATTGATTGATTGATTGATTGATTGATTGATTGATTGATTGATTGATTGATTGATTGATTTAATATCCCACCCATCTAGACCAAAGTCTACTCTTGAAGAACTACAAAAATTCTCTTATACTAAAAAGTATCTTACAGTGGGGTAGGGAGGGAAGTGAAATGGGGCCTCTACTACCACTTTCAAGGCTCTGTCAGCTTATACTGGCTATGGCAAATCTAGGGAGGTGGAAATATATTTTTCTCCTTGGCTTGCTTGCTTGCTTGCTTGTTTGCTTCTATTGCAAATTAGATTTGAACATTTCCCCCTGTTGTGGTATTTGTACCAATTGTAAAAGAGCACAGAGGAGAGAATTCCTAGGTGTTTCCAAGGCTTGGATGGTCCTTGGATCCAGTAGATTCAAGTCTGCTTCTCTAGTTCCCTCAAATTGACCCATCTCAAATTTTATAGAGAGAACTATCAATTCTATATGCGTTGGTCATACCTGCCCAGTCTTGTAATGTCACTTACACACTCATTTTACAGAGAAGAGTCCTTGATGCAGGACAGCATGGCAAAAACAGTTGCAGTCATAGGAGCCGGGGCCAGTGGTTTGACTGCCCTTAAGTGCTGCTTGGATGAGGGTCTTCAGCCCAGGTGCTTTGAGCGAGGGGATGACATCGGGGGGCTGTGGAGGTTCCAGGTAAGTTGACATCTGACGTAATTGCCCATTGGCCAGATGCCAATAAGCTGCAACAGCAACCCTGTCCTCTGTACAAGAGCAGCATCCAGGAAAGTCCTTTGTCCACATGTATTCCTTCAAAGTATTTGGGGCAGGGGGGGAGAGAGAAAGAGATTATCAGGTCAAAATCATTCAGTGAATAAAGATGAGACAGTGTGGGGCGGGGGGGGGAGAGAAAGAGAGAGACTGTGAGGTCAAAATCATTCAGTGAATAACGATGAGACAGTATAAAAATCAAACTGTGCAAAATGAAGCTTTGAAGTGCCATAGTTCAGGTGGGGCCAAAACAGCTAGGCTTAGGATACAAAAACCACCAAATACTCTAGAACCATCATCTCTCTCAAAATTTCCTATTAGCCCTGATGCCTGCATGGAACGTTTCCTTTGGATGGGGAGATACAAGAAGTGAGGCATCTGGTTAGCTACTGACGGAGACAGTAGGCTACTATTGAGAACTATCCTTCTGGGTCTTAACGACTGCAGCTGCTCCTTGAGAGTCTCTCTTGTGAACTATGACAGAGGGTTTTATTTGGCTTTGTGGACATTCTGTAAGTATTTGATGTCCGCATCTAGCATTTTATGTTTACATACTGCCGCTACTCTTTCATGTCTTATTCCTCTTAGAGTATCAAGAATACTATCAGCTCCTTTTATTCCAGTTCTATTGTCACGTTGGCCACGTGACAACGGAAACTGTCTTTGGAGAAGCGCTGGCTTGAAAAACGGGATGAGAACTGCCCCCTAGAGTGGGACACGACTGGACTAAAAAAAATGTCAAGGGGAATCTTTACCTTTATTGTGGTCTTTGGTTTATAGAACCCTAGAAGAAGAGGCTAGGTTGTACTATTTCCCCTTCAAATACCTGAAAACCCATTGTTGGTGTGAAGCTGTTAACAATCCTGTACTTACTTGGTAATTTATTTCAGGAAAATGATACTGATGGCCAAGCGAGCATTTACAAGTCTTTAACCATTAACACCTCGAAGGAGATGATGAGTTACAGTGATTTTCCCATCCCCGAAGATTTCCCAAACTATATGCACCACAGCAAAGTAATGGAGTATTTCAGGATGTATGCAAAACACTTTGACTTGCTCAAATATATACGTTTCAAGGTAGGAATCAAGACCTCATTACTTCTTTAACCAGGAAGGACTAATTACTAAATATCAGTTCTTAAATCATTTGAAGGAAAATCCTGCCTGTATGACTCTTGATCTCTATAATTTCAGCAGGCACTTTCCCCCTTTCAAGCCTTTTCCCTATCTCTGAGTAGAACAGCTTGCATTAATGTGCTTCCTTGCTATGAAACACCAGCATGAAGCTAAACCGAAAAGCTTTCCTCTTTTCTTTCAAGGCGACTGTCTGCCAGGTCAAGAAATGCCCAGATTTTGCCATCACTGGACAATGGGAAGTTGTCACAGAAATGTATGGGAAGCAACAGTCTGCTATCTTTGATGCTGTTCTGGTTTGCACTGGCCACCATATAGATCCTTATTTGCCCCTGGACTCATTTCCTGGTAGGTGATTTAGGCGTTGGTCCATAAACTGATTGAAGAGTCTGTGCGTCAGTTGGTAAGGGGAATTCTGCAAAACAGCAATGTTTTCACTCCACCTTTGTTTAGTGTGGCCACTTAGTCTGAATGCATGTTTTAACCTCTCTCTCTCTCTCTCTCTCTGTGCGTGTGTGTGTGTGTGTGTGTGTGTGTGTGTGTGAGAGAGAGAGAGAGAGAGAGAGAGTCTGTGTGTGTAGACTACATGTCGCTTTGCTCCCACCCATTTTTGACTTTGGGCTCATCTACACTGGCCTGTGACCTTCAGAAAGCTACCTAGAGGATGCTGATCAAAGGAGAAGCCTTTTCCATAGAAGCCTCTGTGTAGAGCGCCACGGATGGTGGCCAATTTTAAGCACCAGCCAAACATTATTCTCATGTCATACTTTTAAAATAATTTTAATGACCCAGCTTGGACAGATATTTATGCTGTTTACTCCATTGCTGGGATGCAGGGTTCTGTGTATGTGTGCTTCACTTCTGCTTCTGATAGATGTGCTTATACATTTTGTATAGCTTTATTTAATATATTATTTTTACACTATTGTCATTATATGCTTTATAAATTGTACATATGGGCTATGTAAGCATAATAATATAAATGAAATAAACTTGCCCCTGAGTTTGCAACTGGAAATAAAATATCCTAGGCACTAAGACAAACAAGTAGCTCTGGTGCAGACCATCCAAGATAATTTGATTTACTTACTGGAGCCCATGTATCACCACTTAAGAAAATTATCAAGGTGGTTTACAATAAAAACTCCATATAAAGAAAAAAAAACAAGCAACTAGAATTTAATTTTAATAAGAGTCATTTGTAGAGATGGGCACGAACCAAAAAATGAACCAGGAAGTTCATCAAAACTAATTGGTTCATTGCTTTGGATTGGTTCGGGTTTGTCAAAAGTGACAGACCACAAGAAAAGAAAACAACAAACTTTTTTTTTGCAATTTTTGGTTTGTTTGGTTTGTTTGTCCATTTTCTCTACCCCACCCCCACCCCGGTGCCCCTAACAGCCTGCCCCTGTCAATTAGAAGCACTAGACAACCCTGGGAGGGACCTAGAGGCTACTGGATTAGCAGGTCAGGCAGCCAAACACATGGCTCCGAGGACTTTGGGGGAGTTCCTTGTTCTTGTTTATAAGACCAATTCACAAGAGCCATTTTCATCCCAGAGCCACTCCTACTAGTCAGAGGAACCCTGTATGACTTTTTGAGGCTGTTCTTGACAATATGTTTAGTGTCCTCTTAGGCATTCACTTTAGCCTGGATTCTTCTCTGAAACACAGTGACACTGGGAAAATGAAAAGGGGGTTGCCTTCCACTGAATTGATTGCAAAGTGGGCACAAAGAGAAACTCTTGCAGAGGAGGTGTACAAATTTGGCAAAATCCTGGCCACCAGCAGCTCAGAAATGTGTATGCATGTCAACAACTGCTGCCTTCATTTATGTTTTAAAGAAAAAGGAGTATCATTTGTGCTACGAGGATCATGGCTTCTTTTCTGTTTCCATCTTCTTCACAGGTATTGAGAAGTTTAAGGGGAAAATTATACACAGTCGGGAATATAAGCATCCTGAAAAGTTCCGGGACCAGCGCCTCCTTGTCATAGGTTTGGGAAATTCAGGAGCTGACATCTCGGTGGACCTCAGCCATGTCACTAAGCAGGTTCAGATGGTTAAAATAATGGTTTACTTTGAATAATCTTAAACATCTAACAACACTGGGAATTCTTTCACATTTTTAGTCTTCATCCAGATCAATGGAACAGACTAGGGCTTAACAGCCTAGTCCTACAAATGTCTGCTTGAATGTAAACCCCACTATAGCCACTCAGTCCTGGAGTCATGCGATTCATTATGGAGAAGAGGGTTTTTTTTGTTTTGTTTTAAAATTACCATCTGTACATGAGGGTACCTTTGAAGACTTTCCCCTCCCTTTTCTTTTCTTCAAAATCCCCATCTCCTCTCCTGCTTTCCATAGACAAGGGAGTGGAATATTGGGGGCAATAATAACAATCCTTCCAACCACTACAGGACACTGGCACATCACCTCTACTTCATGCTAATGCATACTGATCCTATTGGGAAGCACTGTGCATCACTCTACTGCAGCAGTTAATAAGTAATCTGGCTTTTTTTTTTTTTTTGGTCAGGCCTTGGAAAAGTTACCTTTTAGAACTACAACTCCCAGAATCCCCTAGCCAGTATGGTCACTGGTGTTGTAGTTCAAAGAAATATGTAACGTTTTCAAACTTCACTCCTTCCCTTGTGACGTGCTCTTTTCTTTCTGGATTGTTATTAGGCATTACGATTTGAGATCATATTATATGTTTTGTAGTGCTTTCTGATTTCTTTTCAGACCTGCTGGGGGTGGCCAGGCTTCTCAGCCCTTTCTCTTTTCTGTTCAAAACCATCCTGTCCTCCTAGCGGTTTTCCACAGAGAGGGGGAAACAAAGCGGAGCCCATATTTTTCTTGTGCAGGGGGGTATTAAAAACAGGATTCCCCCACCTGCGTCCAGTGACAGGATTCTGTCACTATGCCTCAATTTCACATGTAAAACAGTGTTATGAACTGATTTTTTTTAAAATCTGCACTCAGTTTGCTTCGGCAACAGTTAAACACAGTATTTTTCAGTGCTTAATAAAGGAGGGTTTTTAAATTTAAAACTGTCGCTCCCAGAATGCCCCAGCCTGTTTGGCGACAGGCCATGACTTTCGAAAGCTCTAATTCTTTCCATAATGATTTTTCCCTTTCTCCCTGTGACAGGTTTTTCTCAGCACAAGAACTGGCACCTGGGTGGTGAATCGTGTCTCTGATGATGGATACCCCCTAGATGTGATTCATTTCACACGTTTCAAAAACCTCCTTCGCCATATGCTTCCCACAGCTCTGGTAAACCTGTGGGGAGAGAAGAAGTTGAATACAAGGTTTAACCATGAGAACTATGGTATAAAGCCCCAGCACCGGTAAGGACAGCATTTAATTCTCTGAGAATTGTGGTGAGTAGAGAATGAGTACGTGAAATTCAAAATACAAGATCATCGAAGGGCAAATTCAGATCAGTGAGACACCTGCTGTAACTTACCACAATACATTACAAATCTATATGCCAGGCTAATTCAAGTTCTGAAAATGAAAGGTTCAGATTCTGTGAGTTGTGATAATCAGGCAGGTTATTTCTTTTTCATAACTTTTTTGGCCTATTTTTTCCATTTCACATCATTTACTCTTTTTTTTTATTCTGCTGAGGTAACTTCATTTTAAGCTCTGGAAGTACCGTACTTCTCAGCAGAAACCATGGCTCTCACATTTCTTCAGATATTGCCCACAGATTTTCACACACGTTTACAGAAGCAGAACTAAAAGCCCACATTTTAAAAAGGTGACTGAAAGAAAAAGAACGCAAGCGAGTGAATTCTGCTCTGCCTTCAGAATTAAACCATCTGCATAACCTCACTCTTTAGACATAGGGAGAGGGCCCTGGACCTCTGTATGGAAACTGTCTGAGCAATTTCTGCTCTTTTGTTTACTATTTGTGTCCATGTAAATATTGGTTGTTGAAAGGCGATATGTAATACATAGAGGAAAGTGACCCCAATGACCTACATGATAACACCTTTCTCTTACATTAAAATTGGTCCAGGATAATTTTCAGGGAATAAAAAAGACGGCTGGTGCTCTGCTTTCTGGAAACACTCTGAATAATGAAGAAGCTTAGAAGTTTAATTACTTGTTTCCTTAGTTTTTCTAGTTTTCTGAGATTGGTTTCTTTGTCCAAAACAACAAACAGTCTTTGACACCACAAAGACTATTGAGCATACTCTGGCGTGTGTTTTCACCAGCAAACAACAAACAGTCTTTGACACCACAAAGTGGTGTGTGTTTTCACCAGTCAGGGTCTCAGCACTTTCCAACAAGAAACATGCATTAAAATGTATGTACATTTTCATACTATTAAAATAAAAAAAGGTATGAAATTTAAGAACTAGAAAAGGAGGAACAGAGGGGAATTGAAATAGACTACTTCATCCATCCCTTCTCATTATGTACTCAGGATCTGCAATGCCTTCACGTATCTTGTTCATGTTCCAGGTTCCTCAGTAGATATCCGATAGCAGCTGATGACCTCCCAAATGCCATCATTGCTGGCAGGGTGCTAATGAAGCCAAATGTGAAGGAGTTCACAGAGAGAGGTGTGGTTTTTGAAGATGGCAGCAGAGAGGAAAATGTGGATGTTGTGATCTTTGCTACAGGATACAGTTATTCCTTTCCCTTCATTGAGAATGGTGTGATCAAGACAAGGAACAATCACATCCCATTATATAAATTTGTCTTCCCACCGCATCTGGAAAAGCCCACACTAGCCATCATTGGCCTTCTCCAGCCTTTGGGAGCCATCATGCCAGTATCCGAGCTCCAAGCTCGCTGGGCTACAAGAGTCTTCAAGGGTAAGCAATAAAAGCAATACAATAAAAGGGCCCTGAGCTACTGAGCTCTGTGGTTTGAAGCTTGAGTTGGTTCCCTGAACAGCACCTGAACAAAAACTAGTTAAGGATGAATCCTTGTGTTTCTGTGGTGCGTCCATAAATCTGCCTTCCAGACCTACTAAGCATTTGCATGCAGATCCAACAGTAGTGGTACACATAACATGTAGTGAAAGCACAACTCAAAAGAGACAAATGAGAAAGCTTTTGTGTGCTACATATGACAATCTCTTCATGCTTATCATTCTCATATTCAAATGCCTAGGAAATGTTGCAACAGACCTGAAATATGTTCTCAGTGTCATGAATAGACAGGCCTTCCTGAGCTTCAATTCCATCCTAAACGGACTTTTCAAATCTCAAAAGTGTTGTCAAACATTGCTGATATTTCCCACCATTTTTTAGAGTTTTGTGCCTTTATTTCAGTACTTGTTTGTACATTTATAAGAACAACTAACAATGAAAAGATTAATGAACTGTTTTCCGAAAACAAGCCTTTCCTAGCTCATTTGTGGATTGTAGACTAGAAATTTTTCTGGGGTAACTCTGCCGGAACCCTTAGAGACACTGTCAGTCAAGGTGAAAAATCTTGGTTACAGATGGATGGAGCAAAATTCTGACTCACTGTAGAGAAACTTCCATTCATAATTTTTTTTTCAGACTTAACTTTTAAAAGTAAATAATAAACCGTGAGTTTGCTTCAGTTTGCTTAAATGCTCCATGTGAAGTGTCCATTGGCTAAACGAAAGGAAAAACTGCCATTCCTTCTTTGCCAGGCAAAGACACTTTGCTACTTGAAATGAAATTGGCCCTGAGGTTAATACTATGAGGAATATATCCAGAGTTACTGCCTCCTCAGGCCACTCCAAGCCCTGCTGTGTCTGCCATGGGGTGAATTAAGTGCAAACTTCTCTGTATTCCTCAGGGCGCAGCAGGCAGTAAAGAATGAATCAAATGTTATTTTTCAGGCTTGATCACATTGCCTTCAAAGGATGAAATGATGGCTGACATTATGAAGAAGATGAAGTATAATGAGAAACGGTATGAAACTCTCTTGTTTTACAAACAAGGAATGCTCCAGATGGTGGAGGTCCACATTACCTCCTTTTCTTTCTGTTGCAGATTCTTTTTTGACATTATTTTTGTAGCCTATGGTTAAGATGTACCTTGCCATAATGTCTCGTTCCTTCATTGAAAAACCAACAACAACTGTAATAGCTGTATAGTTAAGTAGTAAATCCCAAACTCCATATTCAGTGCTATCTGTATAGGCCAACCAGAAAGGCACAAAAAGTATGCAGAGGAGCACAGAAACACACAAGCATTTGAAAGTATGGTGAGGTATCTTCAGGTGAGGCATCAAAAGCAAGCAGTGGAAACGGTATGAAACTCTCTTGTTTTACAAACAAGGAATGCTCCAGATGGTGGAGGTCCACATTACCTCCTTTTCTTTCTGTTGCAGATTCTTTTTTGACATTATTTTTGTAGCGTATGGTTAAGATGTACCTTGCCATAATGTCTCGTTCCTTCATTGAAAAACCAACAACAACTGTAATAGCTGTATAGTTAAGTAGTAAATCCCAAACTCCATATTCAGTGATATCTGTATAAGCCAACCAGAAAGGCACAAAAAGTGTGCAGAGGAGCACAGAGACACACAAGTGTTTGAAAGTATTCTGAGGGATCTTCAGGTGAGGCATCAAAAGCAAGCAGTGAGGGAAGGAGAACGGAATGAGGGAAAGACTGATCTTGAGTCCTCGCAGTCCCTCTTTTGTTCCAGGATAGAGTGGAGGAGGGATGAGAAAGCCGGGCGTGGTGCAGTGGTGTCAGGTGTCAGCCAGGGTAGCCCATGGACTCATCTGAGGATTGGAAAGTTAGAAACTTCAGGCCCTCCACCTTAAACAGTGTAAGGTTCCGACAGGAATCTCAAAACTGTCCCCATCAAGTCTAAGCAGACAGATCCCTTTGTTGGTGGAAAACAAAAGGCCACTAGGTAGACTTTACATACCTAGTGACTCTGTAGTGGTATTAATTTTAAGTGATGGATCAGATAAAGAAGATAAATATATCCAAACAGAGTAACTTTACTGATTTTTAATGGATGTAATGGAATGGAATTAGGTTTCACTTAAGATAGCTTTTTTCATCATTTCTCCATGTCTCTTAATATCATTCAGTGTTACTGATGGGTACGTGCATACTGCAAAGAGCCTACAAAAATGGAATAATGATACAAGTGACATTATCTGACGCACACACACCAAAATTAAACCCTATATTTGGTGCTGCCCCAAAACTTCCTATCACTTATAAAATTGAGGAGTCTGTTACAACACACTTCCCAGAATTAAAAGCAGTCCACTCCAACTTGATTTCTGAACGTGACCCTGTAGGGGTATGGGTGGACAGAGGGGGTGTAGACTCAGGCAGCAAGATGTGCTTGTGGTCCAATTCATGCCAGCAATTTCCCATCTCCTCTTCACAGGTACGTACCAAGCCAGCACATATCCTTACAGGTTCAGTATGTTGACCATGTGGATGAATTAGCCTTCCTTGCAGGAGTGAAGCCCAATCTTTTGCGTCTCTTCCTGACCGACCCGAGGTTGGCTTGGGAAGTGTTCTTCGGTCCCTGTTCAGCTATGCAGTTCCGTCTGATGGGGCCCGGGAAGTGGGAAGGAGCCAGAAACGCCATCCTCACTCAAAGAGAGAGAATTGTCAAGGCCACAAAGACACGAGCTCTGCCAAGCTATGCGGACTCTGCCACTGCCACTTGGGATCCTTCTCTCTTTATCAAGGTTCTTGGTTGTTTGGCTGTCTTGGCTGCTATATTCGCTTATCTGTAATTTGGCTTGTAGGAGCCAGAGAATGAATTATGCTGCTGCTGTCTGTATTTCTCAGCTTTGAGGCTGCTTTTCCATGTGGGTTCTTGGTTGTTTGGCTGTCTTGGCTGCCATATTCGCTTATCTGTAATTTGGCTTGTAAGAGCCAGAGAATGAAGCCTGCTGCTGCTGTCTGTATTTCTCTGCTTTGAGGCTGCTTTTCTATGTACAGCAGACCTGGGCAAAGTGCGGCCCGAGGGCCACATACGGCCCGCAAGCCGCTCCTGTCAGGCCTGCCGATTGTCGCTCCAGTCTGGTGTTCAAGCACTAATTCAAGCCCAAGACAGACTGTATATTTCTCTCACTGAACAAGTTGAACATCAAAACCATTTACAGCTTTTTGTCTAAAGTTGATCAGTTGCTTATCTTTAATATACCGCAAAGAACCTCTTTCGTATTTGTGAAGATTAACAAGTTTAAAATAAAAACAATCATAACATCACTGTTTCATTTTATTTTTAAGTAAAAGTTGGTTGGGCCCCCAAACACAGTTCAGATTTTTCATGTGGCCCCCCCTATAGAAATTAATTGCTTACCCTTGATATACAAAAACATTTGTGCAGGGCGGGGGGGGGCACAGGGTGAATATCTTTGTCCTTTCGATACCACACGTCTCTATATATTAATGGTGGCAAACACTAGAAGAGGCTCAAGACAGCTGCAAAGTGTGAAGAGGCTCTTAGGAAAACAAGAAATATCTTTTAATATCTTTTTGGTGTGAAGGAAAAATAATAGAAATCAACACAGTGGGTGAAATCCTGTTGCTGAGTGTGGTAAATTGCACTAAAGTAGGCCTATTCAGTTGATGGCAATTTGGTGCATCAATTCTGCCATAAATTCCATTGATTGAAGTGAGCATACTTTTTAGCACGGTAACTCACAAACACTGTTGGCCCATTTGAAACATGGAATTTATGGAGGAATTGAGTCACCAAATTCTCAGTGACTCAATGGGTGTCACCTCGTGTGACTTACTATGCTAAGCAACAAGATTTCAGCCTATATTTGTAATGTTATTAACTCTGTGCTTAATGATCTGTTTCTGCAAACAGCTATATTCTTATCTAGCACAAAATGTACAAAGATATCAAAACCTTTTAAAGAGGAATAGTCATCTTGATTTGCTAGTCATGCACCAGATATATTGGGGACTGTCCCCCAAAAGACTATAATATACAATGAATTTGTTAGTTTTCTAGGTGTTACAAAGAGCCAAACTGTACCTTAACAGATAAGCCATCATTTCAGCTAAAATCTCATTAGTATGCAAGAGACATACTGAAGCTATCTTTCCTTGCAGGGTTTTTGAATTTTATTAAACACTTGATTATTAAACAAGCTTGGGACAAGGAGGTTCTGATTGGAGCTGACATAAAAGGAGCAACTCCAAAATAGTTGGCTGTGATATGGGGCAGGAGGGGGTCTTTCCGATTAGTACCTTCTCTGATGGCATTAAGGAATGCTGGCTAGATTGAAGATGCTGTAAAGTGCCAAGGGGGTGCCTTGTTATGGCTCACCTAAGGACCATGTGGCCTGTCAGTGTAAAAATTAGTAGGTCAGTGCATCAAAGTAATACATTATTACTATCAAATTATAGCTATTGGAGGGATACTTCCTCTAAAATAGATACATTTGTGTACATCAAAATCATGCAGACTCTCTTATATGAACAGATAAAATCTCTCAGTACTTGAGCAGGCAAAGTGTTTTACTGCTAATGGGAGTTTATTCCATACTGCCAGGCGTCTCGGGCAGCCTATTGACTGCTATTGCACTGAATATGTAACAGTGTTTGATTAGATCCCTCTCCACAATCCAGATATGGATGTACGGTTCTTTGCCTAAAGTAAATATATTATTATTAAAGTCATTTTTATGCTGTCTTTCTGTGACAAAACTCTGCATTTTAATATGCTTTCCCTAGAGCAACTACAAAGTTGGCCCCGTGCTAGGCAGCCCCCTGTGTTTTGCCCTTTGGGAGGTTCAAAACACAATTCTGCAAACAACACTCTGCACTCTAGCGGGCTGGGTACTCATTTTACCAACCTTGGAAGGATGGAAAGCTGAGTCGGCCTTGAATCAGCTACCTGAACCCATCAGGACTGAACTCAGGTTGTGAGTACTGGCTTGACTGCAGTAGTGCAGTTTAACCACTGTGCCAGAGGGCTTTCAATTTCAACTTTATAACACTTCTTAGAGACATAAAGAATGTCTCTCCAACCATTAATTAATGTTCAGATTTTCTGGCTCTACCATCAGTAGCTCATTTTGAATTTTGTAATTAAAAAATATAATATTGTGTCCCAACCGGAAAGGATCTATGAGGCTATTAGACAGGGTCAGCTTCCCAACCTGACCATTCTTTCTCACTCAGTTTCAGTCTGTAATACAGTAATGGCTGAAATACTGTAGCACAGTTATGCAAACAGTATGACTTTTGGAAGGGGACTTCCATGAATTTTTAAAAATTCCATAGGCATATGTTGCAAACTGAGTTGTACAACAGATCATGTCTACAAATATTTCTTAATTTATGGCAATTCAACCTAAAAGCTACACTATTTGCTTTTTGAACTAAACAACAGGCTTTCAGCTAATGTAAGCCTTACTTTGTCTCAGTTCTGATGCAATACCTCACAATAAATATCCTTTGAAAAATTTCCATTCCCATCATCAATAAACTGTATTTTAACTGTTTCTATGAAGTTAGTTGCAATGTATATACACAATGAATGATCTGATAATCTGGACTTAAAAGGGATAAAGACTATTGTGGATGCTCCTTCAGTTTGCTTGAAGTACCTATTTAAAACCCCTTAGAGTCCCAAAATTCTGTCTTTCTGCAGCAGGGTGAAAAGGGGCAAAATCCAGAGGTTCTAAGGGCCATGGTGAACAATCTGGCTGTTCCTTAAGACTTGATCCCATTGACAATAAGAACCACTGGTGCACTGCTTTTAAAAAAAAGTTTAACATAATCGATCTCCATTACATAAACAGAAGCACTGATTATTTTACCAGGAAAGCATGCTTTTCAGTTGGAAAGTGATCTACAATACTGTTCTGCCAGAAGGTCATTTATTATAGCACACATGTGAAACCCAGTTTATTTCAATTGTTCTGCATATGCACACCCCTAAATTGCACCATTGGGTAACTAGCGGAGGCAATGGGAAATACAGCAGGAAGGAAGAAAGGAAGGAAGGACACACAGGTGCAGGAGAGGGAGGGTCTGCTGGCAAAGCTGCTTGTCCCTTTAGAAAGCTTGGCTGCTTCTGTTCCTTTAAGAATGCAACTGTTCTTCCCTGAGAGGCAGAAAGAAGGGGAAAGTATGGCCAGTCCTTCTCACACAGCCCCTCTCTGCTCCTGCTGTAGGTTATTTCCCTCCTTGGAAACAGTTTGTATGTGCAAACTTCCTGGCCTTGCCTTATTTGTCCCCACTTTTTCTCCCTGGGCAGGCTTTTCTGGAACAAAGTTAAAAATGGGCAGGGAGAACCCAGGAGGAAACCAGTGAGGCTTGGTAAAGTGGGCAGCTGACAGGTGCCTCAACATTCTTAAAGGGACAGAAGCAGCCAAACTTTCTAAAAGAACAAGCAGCTTTACCAGCAGACCCTCTCCCTCCCTCACCTCACCATAGTGGTACAGCAGCAGGAGCGAGTGGCCAGTGTGAAGGCAAGGTGGGCAGGCAGAGGAGAATGCTTCAAATGCCATTCCAAAAACCAGTGTTGCCCCCTCAATTGAGAAACAACAAAGTTTAAAAACAGATTAAAAGTTTTCCCAAGAGGATGCACACACCAACCCAAATACCATGTGATACCACATTATTTCTAAATCGCTTCCATTTAGAATGGAGGTTATTGTGATGGTAATAA